AGTGAAAATAAAGAAACAAACAAACTGTTTATTTCTTATTTCTAGATCGTCTATTTGCTGAATTTTCACAAGTAAGTCCACATTATTATTGCGATTACTATTTGTCAACGTATTGGTCAACATTTTGTCTAGACAGTTTTAAAAGATGAACCTATTTTAAATTGCTAGTCTAAGAAAAAATTCTCATTCGTGAACACTCTACACAAAATGGCGATCGGCATTTGGCCCTAAAAAGGGCCAGGGAATGCTCTAGAAGACAGTAAGGTCAAGCTCAAGGTCGAAAGAAAAGGAAGAAAATGGAGGAAACAAAATGTAAAAAGGAAAAATGGTACTGAGGAGAGGTCAAGAAGAGTAAGTGAGCTAGTCCTCACTTACTCTTCTTGCGACAACCGACTTCTACTCCAATTCCGCAATCTCTAGCTCGTATCAATGTTAAACTTAATTTTAATCGTGAATTTCTTCAACACCATATTGTTGTAGTCATTTTCATGCTTGCTTTCAATTGTTAAATCAGTTAATTAATGTTATATATGTAGTGTAGTTGTTATTAAAGTAGTGGTAGTCTAAAGTAATTACTATAGTTTCTTGCCGGTATTCCATTTTTTTAATCTCAACTGTATTCGATATCTTTTGCACTATTGCGCAATATTTCAATTTATGTATATACGTGATTTAATTTACATTTATCGTAAACATTCATTAATGCTTCATAGACTGCAGATGAAACGGCTACTGCCATCTAGTGAGCGCTGTTGACGACATTTCTCTGCAAGATTCTCGACGCATTATGGTTATAAATAAATTGAATAGAATGCAATATTACAAAGTCTTTTCATAATTCAGCATATACGTTGCACGTTTTACACACACTATTTAAATTCATATAAATGTAAAATTATATTAAATCCTTGCTTGACTGTTGCGTACTTTCTGGCGTTGACAGCAACCTCATTGGTCAGATTTAGCTGCGACATATTTGAAGAGGAGATTTTAAGATGGTTTTAAAATAATTTTTAGTAGCCACTCAACTTGCCGCGAGTTTCAGACCTACCTATGCCTGTGAGATTGGAAGTATTTTGACATAGGTTAATTTGACATGACCATTGATCAAAACAAACACGTTAGGTAAATGGATATGGTGTATCCACACCGATCCCGAATAATTTGCTCGAGTAATTTGCTATTTTGCTCAACTAACTTTTCATACGACTCTATGTTTCTGTATTTTTAGAAAAAGCAGATTAACTGTAGAATTAGAAGTCGACAGTAACTTTCCCTGATACATACGAATTAGAGACTCTCTAACACAGAATGTTTTCATTCCCGAAAGTTTCATCGCCTGTTTGCATACCCTACGACATTAAAGTCCATGGGCAAAGTCGCTCCCCCACCTCCTCAAGAAAAATCTGGCATATTTTTAGAAACAGGTGGAATCATGGTAGGGCCACGCGACAGTCTTCGCTGTTTCACGAATGAGCAGATCCGTCCGGGTAAGCCACGACCTCACAGAAGATCGGCGTGAAGTGGAGGTCTTAGTGTTATAGTTGCGAGTTCCGTCTGGTGAGTGAGACAGCCGGGGCCCACTTTATTATGACGTGGCAACACATCTGCAAACCTACGGATGTTGCAAATGTCAATGGGTGGCAGTTATCACTTAACATCAGATGAACAATCTTCGCACATTAAAAATTGTCTGTCACTCACGACTTACGGCCGGTTTCAATATCCTATGTACAGATAAATTTGGTTACTAACGATAGGAATTTGACATTAGATCCATAATACATACGTCAAAATTATTTCTCCAGTAACCAATAACCATCTGAAGATAGAATATTGAAACCGGCCGTTAGAGAGGCGTCGATGCGTAAAATCAAAATCCGCAACTAGCACGTAAGGCTTCGCGCGTGTTTAACCGGGCTTATTGGCAAACTAACACCTGTTTTCCAATCTCATTAAGGCCTCTCGAGCCACGGCTCGCACACACACAGACTTTTGTAAGTCTTGTTGATACTTGCTTATGCTCTTGTTGCGGATTTTTACTATAGGAAGAAGGGTACACATAATTTTTTTTAAAAAGCATTTCACTTGACAATAATTGTTTGCTGTCAACCGATTGAAATTTTCTATAATAGCGTATTAATACGGATTGCCGAATTCTATAATGGACGAATCTACCGGCTTGACCTGAACGGGCCCACATAGGAAAATATTTATACCACTAATGGCATGTTAGAATTTTATATGCAGAGAGAGATAAACATACGAAATCTTGAAGATTATCAACTATCCAGTAATTGAAGACCTTCTAACAGATCACCATTCCTTTAAATATTTGCAGACCTACATAATGTAAAACTCTTTACACTATTACGCTTTGTCAAATGAGATTACCGTAGGTGGATGAAAATAAGTACTTCTGAAATAGTAGTACTAGTTTATGAATGTATTATCTGTTGTATTTTCTGCTTCTCCCTGGAGCCACTATCAATTGGCGGTTACATTATTCCATTCCAGCGCTGCATAGAGTGCTGGACTGGAATACTACTGAAATAATGTGGACAGAGTATTAAGGAGTTTTGTGTGTTGTATAAGCGTTCAGAAAATTCCTTCTGCTAAATGTAATCACGAACTCAATTTTTTTCACTCACGAAAGAGCGTAAGTGATACATACTATGTTATAAATTTCATCTTTATTATAACTGAATATGGTTGCAAATTCTTTGTGTAAAGAATTGTAATGTGATTTTTTGTGAAAGGGAAAGGTGGATTCGTGCTCTATTTTTGGCTGCGGTAGGCGGTGGCTCGGATGCGTCTTATTTTTTTTAATTCCTTTTACGGTGTTTTTGTACTTTGCGGCAACCGTCTGGATTTAGGCCGTATTTCCGGCCATTGTGTCGAAGATCGTTTTCAATTAAACAAATTCACTACCATGTAATATTATTGGAAACTACACAATTTATTTATTTCATATCGTTATTAATTTTGAATTTAGTTATTTATATTTTTTTTAAAGGAAATGATATTAAATGTTTTGTTTATAATTAAAAACAAAATCTCAAATTTGTTTCACTCAAAAGGCTCGCAATAGTAGTTGTTGGTTAGAAGTAGTATTTAACACACTTTCAATCTTCAAATAATGGAACTAGTGTTCCTAAAAAATACCGCATTAATACTGTTGCTACAAGTAACGCCATCTATGAGTGGGTATCCGAAACGTTTCGAAAAGTGACGTACTGTTTGGTTCTGACGTTGACCATCATTTTGACAGGTGAAAAGGAAGGCTAAAGTGTGGGAGCAGGACAAAACAATAACAAACGCCGTTTCCATCGATTCTGAGGTCAAGCGACGCGCATGTCAAGTATAGGTAAAATTGTTATTCTGTTTCTTTTTACTCAGATCCATTGTGCTTTTTGTAAGTTTTATGTTGTTAATTTACATTCTACATAAGGTTTTTGAAGTATTATCCATAACATTTTTGTGAGTCTTTATGACGGGGTATATGGGTATTAATAATTTTAAGACTCGATTGATGGTATTGAAGTAAACTCTAATAGCTTAGTTCACCAAAGTCATATTTATTCAAATAAAAAAATATCAATTGTAAAGTAAGGACATTTTTTCCTTACTTTGAATTAACATTCGATCTAACATATCTACAAAGAAAGACCTCTGAACACATAGACAAGTTACACACGCGCACTATTTCAAAGCTATCTATCTCTTTCTTTCCCTTGAATTAATATATATTCCTCTCATACACTCTTTACTCACCCCTGTGTTCGAAATCAATTGTGTTTAAGGTTTAGACTCTATTACTACTAATAATAACGTACGAATTCAATGAATAAAATTTAAAACATGGGTCTCTAGTAATTTATCGTGTGGGTCTGCTTCGTACTCTTATACTTATTCAACTTCACGTTTACACATTCTTTGACTGAAAGCTGATCAGGTTTATTCGGTGTTGCAAGAACTTTGTGGAAAAGTATGACGCGCAAGCTTCCAAGTTCAGGCGTCGATCGATTTCTGCTAATTGTTTTCATACACGTGCATATATTTCATAAAATAACAAAACTGCAATACATGTTTTGTTGTTAGTGTAGTCTTCGATTTTTTACTGCATATCTATGATTTTAAAAAAATGCGAAAATTAAAATAAATATGATATCCAATTTACACACCATGAAAGATGTTCACTTGTTGTACTGTAAGGAATTTTCTATCTTTTAATACATATTTCAATCGATTTTTACTATAATAATGAATAAACAATAATTACCTAGTTTTATTTAAAAATACGGATTCATAAATGTTAACATGAGATAATGAGGAAAGATGTTGAGCGAAATTTATACATAAAGATGTAGTTTGATCAAAACACAAAATTAATCGAATAATTTTGTTAAGAATTACCATTAACATAAAAATATAAATTTTCAATTCGTCCAATATGATATGGTATATTTATCTTGAGATAAATCCTGGAAACTCGTTTCCGCTTACGATAACCCCCACGCACACTAGTATGGTTCCATCGGTGACCTTCCGCACACACTGAAAGTAGTACATAACCGTACACAAGAGTACTTTTAATACTACAAACCCACACAGAGACAGGGTGGAACCGACCGATTTTCAACCCTAAAGCCTTGGTTTCTACTGCAATGTGTCCTACATTTGCCGATTCGCGAAATAACCTCAAAATTTAAGTTTTTCATTTCAAATACATCCATCTTATCTATTTCTAGAGAGTTGTCGGTAGCTTTTTGTGTTCGCTGATTAAATACAGCGTTTCGTTGTGCTTATGTGTTGGAAATAGCTAGAGTGAGCGCGTGTGTTTGCCGAATTCCGAGCGATTTTGTCACATAATTCAGTTGAGTTTCGTGTTCGCCGTCTGTGCCATCGAAAATATGTTGCGTGACTATTTATTGCTTTGTGCTTTATGATAGGTAGTGTGTGGTTAAATGATTTCGGGTGGGGTTCGCTGCTGAATAGAAATGAGCGTGAGTTACTATTACTACTACATTGATTTTGTCCGCTCCGTAAGGGCGTATTAAACTGATGATTTGACACGTGCTTATTATTCAAGGCTTAAGTAGGAAAAGGACGGAGTTATTATTCTATATGTAGAAAAGGGTTGGCTCATATTTGTTGCCAAGTTAACCAATAGCTTCATGGTTTTTAGTCTAATACATTTACCGTGTTCATATTCGGGAGCCGATGATTTGGTATAAGCTTTTTCATAAAAAATAAGAGAACGACAGTTACTGTTGTTTTAAATACAAAATTTGCAATACTAAAATACTAATAGTGTTTTTATTCGAAAACGGAGATATGCGCTAAAATACTGCGTAGAGAAACAGTGATTGGATTTATTTTTCTATTTATTCAATGTAACTACGATTACAACTATCTGTTACTAAAATAGACAAATCGTATCCTTACATAGCTCGTAAATATTACGCATACGTTTGCACGATAAATTTATAGAGCAGTTTAACCAAAAATGTTATGCTCTTTATCTCCCGATTCAAATATATAAAAATAGATAAGCGATCATTAATAGCTGATAAAAATCAATAGCTTCTGATTGGGTTCAATTACGAGGGAGCGATCGACACCCAGGAGGCGCCGGGTGGTGGGCACCAGTTGAATGCATTGACATTGACCGATATCCGATTTTACGCCATGTTTTAAGGCTGTGGGGAGCAGATAATAGGCTCGTCCTGGTTTAATTTGTATTAAACTGAACGTATCGACGAAAATAATAGACAATCGATCATGCGTTCCTATTAAAGGACAACATTTAAAAAATACTTATCGTTTTATATTTCAATAACTATATTCATCTTATTCGAAACTTTATTTTTTAAACTTGTCATTAACACAAAGATATACCGTCAATAAAATGTTCACCTAGTTGTGTAAAAAGTAGTAGTTTAAGGATTTTTTTGAATATATAAATTAACAATTCTCTTTGCCATCACCTTATCGTGAATAGACATCTTTAAAAAATGTTAGAAACTAACGAAAATAAGTTTTGAGAAAACTCGACAAAAGCTGTAGCATGGACCCTGTTCAAGTTTCCTAGACTTTCCCAAAGCCTTTAACAGATGGCGCTGGATTCAATATGCAGAACGAAAATATGAATTACTTTATTATTGAGCTAAGTGAAGAGCCAAAAACCTAAATGAACATGAAAAGGTTTTTTTATGTCACATTATAGAAGTTGATAAAAATGCAAAATGTTTTAACGTTTTAATGCAGAATATAAGTTTCGTAAATATATTGTCCAATATTTGTACTAACTATTTTGATAAATAGTTGTAATTAAATTGTAATATTAATTTGAAAACTTTTATCTAACTCAGTGTTTTGTTAACGTGATTTTTATAAACGAGAGTTGACGAGGAGCACGAACAGTTTGTTGCCTTATTTTATAAGTATTTATAAGTATTAATGTATGGAATTGCAATAACGCTATTGGATTTGAGAGTAACAAAATGAAAAATATATAAAATATAGCTAATATAAATGTAGCAATATATTGACTTATTTGCAACAATATATCCAAAACAAAAAAAAACTGGAGCCGTAAATATTTCACCCACTGCACGTTGTTCAGACAGGTACCGCGAGCTACAGTCGGTGCGTTGTAGAGTCCACGTGTGGAGAGTTTGACATAATTATAGATAGGGAACAAAATATTGATTACATATTATATGTTCAAAAACATACGTATTATTACCCCTGTTAATTAAAACTTATGTGAGAAACTGTCGATATCCTGAACAGTATAACATATATTGTTATTCACGATATATCAAATGTCGCACAGATGACACCACTACTGGGTGTAAACACCTAGAGATAGAATTTTTTGATGTGGAAAGTAGTTTTTCCTGGACACATTTCGTATACATTTCATTAATTACGTATCACCTCTTATTGGATATATTGGAACCGTGATAGCTCAGGGAGCCATGATAGCTTTAATTCAATATATACTCAAGCAACCCGGTGCCGGCACTAATGAAGTTTTTAACTTTAAGTGCTGAATTATCACGTGCTCCGCGGTGAAGGAAAACATCGTGAGGAAACCTGCATATTTTCGAAATAATAATAAAAAAAATGTATTTCGAAGACATGTGAAGTCCGCCAATCCGCAGTGGGGCCGCGTGGTGGACTATGCCCTGATACCCTCTGTATAGAGGAGATCTTTGCCCAGCAGTGGGACATGTATAGGCTGTAACTTTACACCTGTTATTCCGAGTAACACGAGGCACTTCATTAATTCGTTATTTTACAATCCTAAGGCATTAAGTTTGCTTTTTATATAAGTTGTAGAAAAAGGATTAATCTGCTATCCTCGTCCAAAAATAAATAACAATCTGAAACAATCGATTGCGGTTTCTTTTTTATCTTTACCAGATTACTGTATACAAAACCGTTAATGGCAGTAAATATTTAAGAAAATCTATAAGGTCTTTCAAACAATAGTATTTTATTGCTAATTAGAACGGATACAATTAATTTCTAGAACGGACAAAAATCCAATATTGAAGGTACGGCTAATACTCCTGTTAGAGTTTTACAACTCGGAAAGGGAATAAAAGAAATAAGTAAAATATTTTGATATCAAACATTGCCTACCACTGCTTTCAGATTTATAGTTAAGAGGTCAGTCATGATGTGAAATAAAACCTCGTTATAACTTCTACGTGTTAATTTGAAAGACTAATAACCAATTTAGCTGGTCAATCGTGTCATCTCATACATACTTCATCACGCCTGCCTAACGTCAACTCTCCCTATGAAACAAACACCGAAATCGTTAACAATTATCTGTGGGTAATACTTTTCCCGTGTAGAAAGCCAATAGCTTAATAACGGCGCCCCCGAGTCATCTTATACATACTGGCTCTCCATAATTGCAGGGGTCCCATGCATAACCATATTTACAATTGAACTGAATCCGTATTTAATCTCTGTTAGGGAATGAATTACATAAATCTCTTCGTATTGCTTACCAACGTTATAAAGGGTATTTCTAGATTTACATGCTTGTAGACTCACGCCCGTTTCTGAAACACTGATCATCGTTGAAATTAACAAATCACCTGTCAAATGGCTTCTCAAATTTCATTTGAGCTGCCTAAAGGATGTTTCAGAAACCGGGCGGTACTGCTTTAACTTTTGCTTTGTCTGACAATCAGTCGCAGCTAAGTCGATGTAACTGTAGCTAACAAGCTCGGACTTTGTTTTAACTAATAAGATAAAACCCGACGCATATATACAGCATTGTGTCAGTAAGTTCCTACGGGGCCGAGATAAAATATTGTCACGCACGCCATTGTGAAGGGACATCCGATAGCGGGTTCTAAACACGCGTCCCGGTGTAATGGGCCGTACAGCGTATTGTTTGGGCCCCTTGCCTAAGAAGGGTTGCCAGCAGTACTAAAAGCAGTATCATAAATACCGCCCGAATATGCGTCGAGTTAAGACCATAATTTTTTAAGACGGACTACATTATAGACGACCTTCAGAGGCAAATTTAAGTTTTTCCGCTATACATATTAATGTTTCTATGTTAACGACAAACTCACTACGCCTAAATGCGAAAAACTTTTTACTTTTAAAAATAGTGTAATACTGCTTTTAGATCGACTTAATCTTTACAAGTTCTTTTCTCTATCTTTATATTTATAAAACTTTATCTTCCTTGTTTTTGTATCCACAAACCACAAAAACTAGCCAATGGATTGACTTGATTGTTTTGTGTGAGCATGATCATAACGTACGTTTCAAGGAAGAAAAAAGACCACAGAGAAGCGTGGCGCAGCTAGTTTATTTTGATGGAAAACGAAAGGGTACACAAATTAATGTCTCTATTATATTGTTCACTTATATAGCGTAGAATAGGTTCTTTGAGAAAACTTATTGCGATAGGACGAAAGAAATAGAATATAAATTTAGTAAAAGTATGTACATTCTTTTGTATTTTGAATTTAAAACTACCGATGTTTAAAATGTCAAGATTTCCCAGTTGCACGAATGGGTAGACTCGACCAGGATTAGCACCACGGCTTAATCGAAGACCAGTGTGAAGTTGAAGTAATGTTGCAATAAGTGAGGTAACCAGGACCTATGACGGTAATCGTCTGCCTTCTGCTCGCTTGCAAAGAATTCACGAAAAAAGGTAAATGTACGGGTAAATATTAATAATACTCATTTTTATTACTTGGTGTAATTATTTTTATTTATCACAGAAATAGTTAGCAACACTAAATAAAACCGTCCCTTTGTAAACTAGGAGGATAATGGACATTAAAATTTTGTTTGAGATAGTTGTGTTAAAGGAGAGCGTATGGTAATCGTCTTTTTGCCCGAAACATCCGAATACGATCGCATTTTCATCATCTATAAGAACTCAAGCCTTCATCACATGACATGGTTCTCTCATCCGGATCTTGAAAGCTTATGCAATATTGCTTGAAAGCTAAAGCAATGCAGAAACTATAATCCATAAAGATTATAGTTTCTACGTTCAAATCCGTGGGTTCTGGCTTGCCCACCAGTTTTGCGTTCGATGAAGCTTTAATAATCTAAGGACTGAAAGCGTAACATCAGTTATACAAAAAACAAACCTTTGTACCTACCCCTTTTTACGAAAATTGCGCGGACTGATGAATATGAAATTTCCCACACATATATTTTGTATAGAGAAAGAGTGCATGCTAATATTTTTTAAGATTATGCATGAAAATACATTAAATATACAAAAAAAAATAATTACACACACATCATGCGTAATAATGATGGTCGAATTTCGACCACAAGTATGTAAAAAACTGTGGTAAGGCCACGTAATGGTTTTCACTGTTGCACGAATGGGCAGGTCCGTCCGGGATAGTACCACCTCACACACCTGGAAGTGTTATAAATATTGAAAATTGTATCTTTCGTTGGACATTTATGTTGTGATGGTTTATGTTCATATTAGTCTTGTTTGCATCTATGTGATTTCTACACAGTAGTTTCTGCTGTTTCACGAATGGGGAGGCTCATCCGTAGATATAACACAAAAGGCCTCAGACTTGGAGCGCTTCTTTAACTACCCTCAATCTATATACAGCGTGTCGTTACCATCGCGACAATAAATGAACACACATATAGGGGATAACTTTTTAAGTTGTATTAAACATTTAAATTCTTTAAACATCAATATTTACAGAGTTATTAAATTTTCCAAAACAAAGAATTTTAGAACACCCTTACCTATAAAAGCGTAACGTAAAGTTCATTTGTAAAGGTCACAAAGCATATGAATGGGTTGAATGAATTTAAAAGAGACAAAACATACTGTTAGAAGGAGAGACTTGTAATACGCTGTGGCGCGAGTTGTTTAGGATGTTACAAATTATGTTTCTTTTTTACTTAATTAGTTTGTTTGAAAAATATTTTTTTTAATTATGGATTTTGTTTAACGTTAATATTTTTTCATGATTATTGGCAAGTAGCGTTAGACGCGTGTTCATTTATTGTCACGATGGTAACGACACGCTGTATACAAGCTGGCGTTCACCGAAGCGCTCATTCGTGTCTGCGACTGTTGGTCGTTGCACTCGTTGAAGTCCTGCATTTTCCTTGTTCCACTAATAAAGTACCTAGAAGACCTTTTTAAAAAAGTACCTTTTTTAGTAAATCGTGTATTTGGAAATTACATTTAGTGTTGGCAACACTAAAGGAAGTCATTCCTTGAGGTTGTTGGCAATACTAAAATAAGTGTCATTCTGTGGGGTATAAATGAAGCTGCAAGAAGCGTTTGATGGTCTTCGTCGTCTTCGTCTTTCTCTGGCTGTCATCAAGAAGTATACGCGATAGTGCTGCCCAATCGGTATCTAGAGTGGTGTTTCATTAGTGATATTAAAGTGATAAAAAAAGTAATTATACCAGTGTTATTGTTGTGCAAAGTAAAACTACGATGATTTGGTAAAAGTATTTATATTTCTACCTTCTTAGCTCGATAAAACAAAGTATAGCTAACATTAGATACAAATTACTGAGTATTAAAAATATGCATAATATTTTTCGATCTTACCGACGTAATATTTTAAAAATATGAACTGGTGTTTTTCACAAAAGAAAGAACTTTAAAGAAAGGGAAAAAATAACAAAATAACAAATCGACAAAAAATAATAAATAAAGAAAGCAATGATCTGGAATCGAAAAAAAAGTAAAAAATAAGTGTGTAAATGATCGTGATACGAACCGCGGCCGTATGTTTTGGGGCCGCCCGATTACCGACGGAGGTATTATAAAAAATTCTTATGCAGCGAAATTTACCGTCATATTCGAATGATATTTTTCATTCTGAAAACAGGGATAAAAGGACATTTTCTAAAAATGAAACCTAGCTAGATCGATTTTTCGCCCCCGAACCTACGCACATACTAAATTTCATTGATATCTTAATTTCTATAATTTAGAATAATGTCCGACACTACGACGCCGGCATGTATATAGTTTTATGCTTGCAAACGTAATAAAATTCCTTAGACTCTTTTTTTCATTACAAAAATATGAGAATAAATTACCATTCGAAACGAATCTATTTTATAGAAAATATGAGAAACAAATATGAGAATTATTGACCATTCGAAACGAATCTACTTGTTCAATACTCGAAGTAATTGATTCGATTACCTCTGATATGGCTATAAGTAGGTACTAAATAATTAATCAGCTTTTCCCCTATTGCCTTGGCTTCATCTCGGGAATACGTTTTGATTCTGGGTAGGTGATATAGCTCTGAATGCATAATTCTTCGTCGTATAGTTTTCCTTTGTGAATTGTTCCGTATATAAATGGGCGATATTTTTATTATTACGATTAAAAAAATACGAAACATTACACTGCGACTTTACTACATAACTGTCTCCAGAATAAACTGGTTGTATTATATTATATTAAGTGAAAACCATGAAGGTTTTATAAACCTTTACAGCACCTACTGCAGTGACTAATACTTTGATCTTATTTAAACGCGTAAAATGCAAGCTAGGGCGGTTACAGACTAAAATCATCCAATTTATAACCTTATAACATGTAACTTAAGTACGTTATATAAAACGTTTATTTACCGTTGTACAATGAATGTATGTCATGCGTACTATCCGATAGTATTGATTTTATAACGACTGCTTGCACTGCTCCTGGACGAACTGAAGCGTAGCCGAGAGAAATATCCGGGAGGAAATAATATTTGCAAAGTGAAATCGGAATGGCCGTCGTATGAACGGATTGCCTGAAGCGAGCAAACAACAACTTACAACTTTTGAGTTCGCCTTTGAATAACACGTCGCAACGTGCTCTATGTGAAATTTTCAACTTAGTTTAGCAGTCAAATTATTATTTAGTCGCGTTGGACCTGAAAACATTCCGCGCACACGACTGCACGGGAATTTAATACAGTATCATTTGTTGGATCTGTTCTTTCTTTTTTATTTGAAAAAAGTTTATGTTCGCGTTTAAAGAGGATTTCTCCGCAATTTGTAACAGAAAAGTAGGATAGTTATGAAGTTAAATACTTTCTTCAGCTATGATCGAATTGAATGACAACTAAAATATGATCTGAGTAACGGTTTTCTATTATATGTTATATACCCAATTCAGTATACTTAAACAAACTAAATATACAATACTAAATTTAAAACGGACCGGAAGAAAATGAAATCTTTAAATGTTACTCCAAGTGCTGATTTTGAATAATATGGGCGTTGCAGGAAAATATGGTGAGGAAAGAAGTTTGGAAAATCTGCACTGGGAAACGAGAGGACTTTGTACTCAACATGAATTTATACGCACAACACAAATATATATAATACATTACTTTTCACTTTATCAATTTTACTTTAAAAATGAACTACGAACTTAAAAAAATCTATAATGTTCAGAATTTATCTGAATTAATTCAAAAAATTCTTTCCACAGTGGATATAGGTAATGTTTTGTAAGGTAGATTTTACTTCTGTACATTTTTATATTTTATACTCGTTTGTAATAGATTATACATTACGCTGCCCTTATAAGCAAATAAACACACATGCGCAATAAACGCTCACTTATAAAATCTGAGTGACAGCAAATAAAGAACGAATGGGTTTGCAATAAAAATGAATATTACCATAAAAAGCTACATCCATTCTCGTTACGAATTCGGGGAAGATTTGAGCTGGTATTTCGGTCAAACACTTTGCTGACAATGTTACAATGGCATTTGGTATAATCTTTTAATCCGTTTTTTTTTTAATAATGAATGTTGACTTTATTATGTTAAAATTGAAATTATTACTTATTTGATAAAATATCTATTTTTCAATCAGAGTAAAATCTCACGTTTCCAAACTATCATCAAATGAAAATAGTTGAACTATTGTGGCTATACGAGGGATTATACAGCGTGTCGTTACCATCGCGACAGTAAATGAACACACGTCTAACGCGAATTGCCAATAATCATAAAAAAATATTAACGTTAAACAAAATCCATAATGAAAATATAATATTTTTCAAACAAAATTATTAAGTAAAAAAGAAACCACAGCGTCGTATTACAAGCCTCTCCTTCTAACAGTATGTTTCGTCTCTTTTAAATTCATTCAACCCATTCATATGCTTTGTGACCTTTACAAATGAACTTTACGTTATAGTTTTATGCGTAAGGGTGTTCTAAAATTCTTTGTTTTAGAAAATTTAATAACTCTGTAAATATTGATGTTTAAAGAATGTAAATGTTTAAAAAGTTATCCCCTATATGTGTGTTCATTTATTGTCGCGATTGTAAAGACACGCTGTATATACTTACATACATACAGTCGTAGTGTCGGACCGAATTGTTAAATGTTTATGTAAAAGATTATGTAGAAGCATACTCGTATAGCATAATTTAAGATGTATTTCTACGTTTAATTTCATTTCAACACATAATTAGTCGGGAAAAAGTTTCTTGGTGTTTTATATACAAATTAAAGATATTTGTTTTTCAAAGTTTAATTAATTTTAATAGTAACATATTAGTCATTTTGTCCGATAACTTGTTGTTACCCCATAGCTGATTGTGATATAACCCCATTCCTGTGATGGAAAATAATTTAACAAGTTGTTTTGACTGTCCTCCCCTGATTTTACACAAAGAATTTTGAAGGGACCGAAACAGGTGATGGACGCATTAACAATTGCAAACTAAACTCTTTCAATTTTTCCTGAGTGGCCAAAAATGTGTGTGGTCTGGTGTTATCGTGATGAAAGACACCCTTTCTGTTGATAAGTTCCGGTTTTTTCTCAACTCGATCCGAATCAATGGTTTCGCCTAGCGGCAAAAGCCCCTAATGAATGATGCCGTTCCAATCCCACCATACTCACAACACCACCTTATCGCGTGTTAGTCATGTTGGGAAAATGGCGGAAGCTTTTTTGTTTACTTTTCATTTATGCTACTTAAACGAGCCAGATACAAACAGAACCAAATAGATTTTATTACAACTTCTTACATACAAAATACGGAAAAACTTTTACAAGGACCTATTACTATGCAGGCATAGTAGAATTGGTAATATAAACCCCTCTATGGTAATATAAATCCCTAGAGGAGGCCTATGTTCAGCAGTGGACGCTTACAGGCTGAAATGATGATGATGATGATAGTAGAAACGAGGTACACGCGAATACATTGCTTCAAAAGAATCTCGTAAATTTGTGCAGCTGTTCTTCGGCTATCAGATCAACTGACAGACACGGGATACGTTGGGTTTTATGACCTTTGTGTATTCCAGCACGTGGCAACGGACGACAGCATGAGTGATGACGTGTTCGAAGAGGAGACGCTGCGGCCGCCCGCGCAGCGCAGCACCCCCTCCCCCACCGGCTACCCAGACTACCGCCCCCCCTCTGAGACACCCCGCACCCTCCTGGACGAAGACATGCCCATACACAAGGTATCACAAAACAAATATTACTAGCGAACCGCCACGGCTTCGCACGGGTGCAATGTTTTATATATATATATAATCCTTCCTTTTGAATCACTCCATCTAGTAAAAAAAACCGCATCAAGATCCGTTGCGTAGTTTTAAAGATCTAAGCATACAAAGGGATAGACAGACAGCGGGACGACTTTGTTTTATACTATGTAGTGAAGCTCATCGTCACACGTGGCGTCAATTAGCGAGGAACCTCTAGCATTAAATTCGTTCAATTTCTAACATCAGTGGATGATTTATTAATGTTTCTCTAATGTACCTTAATTTAACCGCACCAACTTTTACTAACTGCTCCCAGGGATCCTGGCAAACCTTTAAAATTAACGAAATTTGTTTTTAAATACGAAACAAGATATATTAAAATTTACCATACATTATAGACTTTCAAATTTATAGATATGTATTACGTATAGGTACTATTGATATTTATAATATGAGGTTAAAGAAATTTATTCCCAAAAAGGCAATACAATGCCACTTACAATTATTATTAACTAAAGTAATGGTCGCTAAACAGTCAATAGCTTTATGCCTCAAACGGAAGGCGAGAAGTTATCAATTGTATATTGAGATAATTGAGACTTAAAACTGCTAAATGCAAGAATACAATAGAGAAGCTAAATGATCGGCACAACCTACCAAAATCTACCTATCAACCTATCAACGTAAAAATTAAAACTTAAAATATAAACCAAAAATGTATAATTTATTAAATATATAATTAAGATGAATAAGAGATTTTAATTTGTAGATATTGGATAAATAAATTTATTAAAATATAATGAAAATATATGAAAATAATGTAAAATTAATATTTAATGGGCTTAAATACATCTTTTCTACAAAATATTATTTTTAATTGTTTGTGTAAAAACTTACAAAACGTCAAATTAATCACTTAACTGTCTAAGTACAGTTTGGACCTTTGGACCCTAAAAAAAAACCAATATGCATATTTCCGCCCTAAATTTGGAGCTAAAAGCCCTAAGTTGGCAAGACTGATAACAACAAGAATGACCCAGCTAAGAACGCGCGAAATTTGGACGTGTCTTCGAATGACTTTTACGCGTGCGAATATCTACGAACATGTGTGAATGAACGTTCGAACGTCTAAGTATGCATATGTGTAGTTCCGACGTCCGAAAACAATTTTAGCTTAGGAATTTTAAAAAAACTTCTGTGCGTTAAAAAATTGGCGACGCAGAAAAATAAACTTGGTTTAGGGACATAAATGTTTGTGGGATCAGAGTGATTCAACCGTGACTTTCAGCGCATGACATGGCGAGGAAGGAGGACATGAAGATGTCGGTAAAGTAAATTTATTACATTTATTTATGAGCAACAGATTATCGTATTATAATGGACTGTTATTCCGAGAAAAATAGGTATTAAGCGCTTCAGTGATTTTGTGACCGCTCGTGCGAAAACCTGCATAGTTTCGAAATTATGACAAGAAAAAAATATTTCGAAGATACGTGAAATTCGCTAATCCACCGAGAGGTCGCCGGGTGAAAGACCTCTGTATAGAGGAGGCCTTTTCCCAACAGTGAGACATATACAGGCTGTTACATTACTTTTTTTTATTATAGACGAACAAAATTATAGCATTTTATTCATATATATCATCATCTGGGATAGTATTGGATAATTCAACTCAGTATAGTGTTGATTAATGAATAATATAATAATAGAAACAATAATATGCCACAAGACAATTCAACACAAGTACAATTATCAGAAGGTTCCAAACGCTAATAATTAAATTAAATATAACTTTGAACAAGGAAATCTAATTAAAAAAAGGTGTATATATATATATATATATATATATAAGGAAGTATCCTGACCTCAAAATGAAAATGAATCTTTCGTCGTGTGATACTGTGTCGCGCAAGCTACTGTATTTAGTAAGGTTAGGTCGTATAGTGTTTAAAATACATTAAGTTTATTTTTCATACATAGGTACATAAATATGGAACAGCATGTGGTGTTTATTCAAGTATTTCATAATATGATGACATGCACCAAAATTATGTCTTTCATGTAGCGAAATAATATTTGTATGTAAATAAATTTCACGCATTTATTCGTTTCTGCAAAGCGACGACGCCACCGCAGTCTCGGAGTTGCAAGAGAAATATCTTCAAAACGAACATTATTTATCGCCCTCCAACCGAAGAGGGCTTCACGACTGCGATATCACCAGAAAAACTTAAACTTTACACAGAAAAACGTATTCGGGATACGCACTTCATGCGACCACAATCACACGTTCACGTGATATACAAATAAGTAACCGTGAAAAAGTCCGTAACATTTTTTTTTTGCATTTGTACCCTAGTGTACGGTTAAGAGACAATGTTTGTGGATAAATTTGCATCTATCAGAGCGACCGTTATGGACTTTAAAATTTGCTAAGAATGAATATAGTATAGATAAATATATTTTATGTTCAATTTTCACGCACAATCCAACATTTTTTAATAAATTTGATCTTTTTTAAATGACACGATCACGATAAGATTCCAAGGTGTTTACCGTTAACTAGTTTTACAATAATTTGTAATTTTTTTTTGTAGATAAATGAATAAAACCCTTCGGCGCTGCTGGGTTCGTACCTGCGTATTCCTGTTTGACGGCCAGACGCTTTACCAACTAAGCTAAGTGGCCGATGACCTAATGGCGCGTTTTACAATAGTCAAATAAAAAAAACGTATCTATAAAATGACGATTAATATGATATAATATAACAGAAAATCAAATCATTAAGTGTAGGTAATATTGTAGTAATTATTATGTTTTCCTTGTTCCTTCACATTCTTAAATACTACATACACAATTCACAAATTGTGTTGAACAATTCGAACAACTCGAAATCGAATAATTTTTATGAAATATATTCTAATACTTATTTATATAAGAGCCGTGATAGCTTAGTGTCCGGGCGCTCGCCTTTAATTCAATATACTCGAGCAGCCTGAGTTCGATCCCCGGTGCCGGCACCAATGAAGTTTTTAACTTTAAGTGCTGTCTTATCACGTGCTCCGCGGTGAAGGAAAACATCGTGAGGAAACCTGCATATTTTCGAAATAATAACAAAAAAAAAAAAAATTCGAAGATATGTGAAGTCCGCCAATCCGCAGTGGGGCCGCGTGGTGGACTATGCCCTGATACCCTCTGTATAGAGGAGGCCTTTGCTCAGCAGTGGGACATGTATAGGCTGTTACTTTACTTTAATTTTTTTTTATTTATATTTTTTTTAAATGTTAGCTGTCGTTGTTTCCTTTCTGAAAAAAAAAACTTTATCTATAGCGAAGGTAAGCCTAATTAAGGAGAAGAAAACTCTGATTAAAAAGATATTTAAATTTGTATAAGGAAAATGAATTTTCGGCAGGCCGTTGTAATGAACAAGCAAAAAAATAATCCAAAGGAACAATAAATTAACTAAAAAACGAGCAACGTGACTTTGTCCCTTTTTACAAAGTTTCCTTTTATTGAGTTTATTATATTAGTTTTAGACGTGAAGTAATAATCTTATGTATTTGTGTAATGCTTGCACATGTATGTAAATAAAATTCTTTAAATTAAATTTAGTAAAGTAGATTACTTTTTTAATGATTATTTAAATAAATAATTATAGAACATAAAACAGGAATTACAAGTCCTCATGGTAAATCTAATTAAGTATTTTTCATGGTTACTCAGAATATCCCTTAAAGAAGAATATTTTTTAATTAAAGAACTCTTAGAGAAACATATTTTGTAATCAAGTTCAAAATAGACAGTTTTTAATTTTATAAAAAAATCATACATGAAGTAAAATAGTTTGTCTAAAAAGTATATTTAAGAAAGTTATTAAACAGTTTTTAATAAAGTATAACATCACAAAAGTATCCAAATCAATTTTTTTAAAACATTAAATAGATAATTTAAAATATTATTTTAGATAAGATAAAAGTTTAAATATAAGTTACATATTTAATTTATGAAAAAAAGCTAGCTGAATATACTATAGAGGAGTACCTATATTTAAAAAAAATAAATACATGAAATTGACCATCGAAAAAAAGCGTGCGGACTTTTAAGAGGGAAATAAAAGATTAATTTTTATAAAATAGTATTTTTACTTAAACTAATGCAAATCGTTGTAAATGTGTTTTATTTCAGTATTGATGCAATATAATATTTTTTTGATTAATTATATTATTTTATTTACCTATATATTATATTATTTTATTCATATTTTTTATCAGACTATCCTGCTTGGCGACAGCGGCGTCGGCAAAACATCTTTGTTGGTGCAATTCGAGACCGGCAAGTTTCAGCCGGGCAATTTTTCCGCGACCGTTGGAATTGGCTTCACTGTAAGTAAAATTTGATTTTGCGTTATTGTTTTTTCTTAATCTTAATTACATCCCTTATATAATACATAGTACAAGTGTCAAGTCATTACATAAAAAAATAATTATCTTATCAAAACTGAATTGCCTCGTAATTTAAAAAAACATAAACGGTTCAATTTTAATTCTTCTTAATACATAATGTAAATAAGTATGCTTTTAATTTGTTATTTAAGGTCGTTATTATTTCAATAACTGTTTATTCGGCGTTGATTTTGCTTCTATACAAATACTGGTATGTTTTGTAAACTTAATGCTTTTCTTTTATGTGCGTGTAGTGTATTAGTATTAGTAGCGTAGAGTGCATTAGCTAGCGGTCGAGATTCGACCATATTAATTGTTTAAAATTTCACGGGCACGTTATTTTTTTATGTTTCCAAAATGTTTCTGCTTATCTTAAACATTCGTTTATTGTACATTAATAAGGATTGATTAAGATTAACATTAGTTAAGATTTTTATAATAAGGATTCGCATCCTTATTATAAAAAACTTATTAAAAAATATATTCAACATACCAAAGACGTAACTAGCCGCTACTAAATAAAAATAAAATCAATTAACAGTTGGAAGAAAAAAAGGTACTGTGACTGTGTGTAATTTGTCTTAATCTATTTAAATTAATTTATAAAAATCATATACTAATTAAAATTTTCCCTTTTTAATGTCGTTGAATAGTTACATAAAATAAATTCCCATTTTTACCTATAATCATCATTATATGTATGTTGTTTTCGCGTAAATACACGGAATCGTTACATGTACTCTTAAGTTCTAAGTGATTCAACTCCTAATAGCGGGTATTACTTAGTTTCCACGACTCCAATCCATTAAGCATTGAAAGGCACTGTATAGGGCTTTGTAAGTAACATCTTCATGCAACATTTTCGTAATTCCGTTCATAGTCGTATAAAAATGTTTGTTTTTATAACATAACTACTTGAGAGATTTCGACGAGTATATTTGACCTTATATTTGTTTATATATAAGACGTCATTTAATATTTATTGAGTCTGAAGTTTCTACGGCTTTTCACCGAGTAAACCAAACCCAATAGCTGTGATAGCTAATTCAATATACTCGAGCATCCTGAGTTATAATACCTGTGCCGCCACCAATAAAAGTGTTATTATTACGACTAAATAAAATAACAATAAATAAAATTGTAATTTTAAATACCGGCTCTGATGAGTCAGTCCTGATGGTCTGACTGACAAAGGAAAAAATCTGTGATCTGTTAAAAATAAAACATGTATTATTATCCTGAATTTTGGGGGTCATTTGATTGTCGTGTGCTTCGTGGATAATATAAGATCAATAAACAGATTAGAGAGAGTATAAAGGGATAGTGGATGATGTCATCCACTATCCCTTTATACTTTATTTACTTACATCTGTTAGTTTGGGAATGCTATATTAAACGGGTTAAGATAACTGCATATTCTTATATTTTTACATAAATAGAATTCTATAGGTAGCCTTTAGATATATTTTGAAACGATTACTTTTCACGGATGACGTTCCGCATATATTGATTTGTTATTTTATATTTATATACTCCATATACAAGAAATACAGGCTTTGGGAGATTTCCAAGAGCAAATTTCTAATTCAACAGCGTTCCTCAGCATATACTCTCATTTTGAAGTGCACATTACGACGGTGAAGCCGTCGGCGTTCGCGTTATCAGCGGGGGTCGTTTCGACCTCCATGTCCGAGCCGCCGTCCGATTGTGAGTCGGGAACGACATCGCGGAAGGGGGCCGAAATGGTTGCGCGGAAGGCGCGTTGGGTTCGTTCGCGGCGGCGGAAGTCGACGCGACGGGCGTTACTAGTGTCGCAGAAGGCGACTCATTAGCTGGCGCAGAGGGCACCGGAGATGGCGGCGAGGCGACTGCCGGTGAAGCCGGGTTGTCGCTAGCGTATTCGACGACGCGGCGTTTCTCCGCGGCGAAGGCGAGAAAGCTGCGCCACATTTCGGGGCATCGTTCGCGAATGAATTCCTCTAAGAGGGAACCCATAACGGCGCTTGAACCTTTGGGGCTTGCGCCCCGCCGGCGTGTAGTTTCTAAATAGGCCTCCCCACCTTGCGGCAGGGAGGTGTGTGCCTAAAACTAACAACTATTTCACCTGCGCTTTAGGTGCGCTAGGGTGGGTACCTAGCTGTCGCCTATCGCAACAAGCACACAGTTATTAAATAAAACAATGCCGCCTCTGAGGCGAGAAGTGTGTATAGAATTCTACTTACAGAACAGGAACCTGCCTACGAGCACAACACTACACTAACACTAAACTGCAGCACTGCTTGCACAAAGATTTAATTTGCAACCGAAGTTGCGAGTAGCGTCTAATTCGGGTGGCATGAGCCCTCCGTCTTAGAGAGACGTCCGTTCCGTACGAGAGCACGAAGCGGAATCAGTACAATAGTATTAAGATCAACCTCTTTAGATTAATCTAAATCATCAGTGAATCTAAATCCATCAGTCGCTTAGAATAATTTCGTGAATTTTATAATATCTTTACAATTTATTATTTTATGAAGTAGGTAATACTTCTTATGGTTGCGCTTTGCTTTTGGATTTTTACGATGCGCGCGCACACAGTGATGAGGTTGGTTACAGAGCGAAAAGTTCACGGTATTGCAATGGCAACCAATAAATTTTTGACATTCACCTTTAATTCCATGATAATTAAACTGTTATCAATTGCATTTTTCACAAACAAAAAATACTGGCAATTAAAAATAAATTTGTAGTCATCTTTGTTACGTTAAGGAAGTATAACTTCTTACGTGGGTTATAAGTAATTTACGTAACGTAATTTTTAGTTAATAAACCTCACGAATAATCCTTGGAAGGAATTGGTGTCATTTGCCGATTTGTGTTCTATCAAATCGCTCGCATAATGCAGACTTTTTCGGTCTTACGTCAGCTTGACACAGGTTTCTATTGCTCTTTTATATAACAATCATTATGTATTTTCTTTATAATTATGTACGACATTTCGATCTTAGCTTATCCTATGTTTCGATTGACTTACGTTACGTCATATTAATTGCTCAAAGAAAATTTAAAAATGAACAATAAAATTCCTGAAATCAATAAACGATTAACTTTATTATGTTAAAAACAGTTCAGTCTCAACCGTTACGATGGAATCTGTAGTGTTTGAAACGTCACCATATTTACGAAAAACATATTTAATATATGAAGTATTCAGGTGGACGCAAGAAATTATCAAGTAAAGGACTTCAAAAATAACTAATCATTAAGCTTTGATTTAAAAATGTTATTTTTATTACTTCATATGTATATACATTTCTAAACACAGTTTGGCAGTTTATTTATACTATTAATATTAAAGCGATTTGTTTACACGTATCCCGATGGTTATAATAACTAATATCTCCATAAGTCTGTTGGTTTAGGATATTGCGTAATAGGGGTCTATAAAGTAAATGTTACGCAGACCCCTTGTAATACGCTTACTGGGAACCCATAGTTATTATTATATTGAAACATAACTAAATCATAAAAAATGTAGTGCCTCATAAATTGTTTTGTTTTATATTTTTATTAATTATTATAAGTTTATTAAATCGTTTCATTTTGAGGTACATTATATCTAAATATTTATCAAATTTGGGCTTTTTTCTTTAATAGAATAAATTTATTTGAATTTTGAGTTTTGTGTATCTATTTTTTACACTACCATATTAACAGCGGGTAACACAGTGTTTTCCTGACAATACTATCCTTAGGCATTTTTAGATAGAAAATACTTTAGAGCCTATTTTAAAATTATTGTTAGACGGATTCACCGCTCCCAGCGAACGAATGACATAGTTGAGAATCCTGTCTTTGTCACAGTCCACACGATCCTCCGTTCCACTGTCTGCATTTTATTAATGTATCTATCTATCAACCTTGGGGAAATTTAAATTTTCCAGGAGCTCCGTGCCCGATAAAGCTTTCTACGTCTACGGGCTGTAATTGCAAACGTCGAAAAAAAAACGGTTAAACTGTTCTAACGAATCCTATCACAGTTTAATTTCCTTCGCAGAACCTTAAACGATAACGTCAAAATTTTCCCGATAGAATTAATTTAACAGGGTAAGCGAAAATGATACTTCAAACAAGATTCGCGGAAGGTGTCCATCAACAGTTTGATGTTTGTGATCGTGTACAATTTTGATTATTAAAAAGTAAAAGGACCTCGTTAACGAATTTTTATCTTATTTTACGGGTGATATATTATGTGTACTTCCGAACTGTAATTATGTTATAGTGATAATTTTAAATCTTGGTAAGCACTAAAAAGAAGCTCAGTAGTGACGTTATTACGGACAGTACTCGTAAAATATCTCCATAATTCGTAGTTAAAGGATATCAGATTAACTTATGCCGTATTCCCAAATATAAGCGGATCGTTGCAAAGTTATGGATTAATTAAATTCGGGAGCCGTGAGCTAACGGTGTTTACTAGCCGTCGTCTGCTACCCGCACGGATGGATGACTTTTTAAATATTATTAGTTACATATTTGACGACGAAATTGAGATTGACATTTTGTACAGATAAAACATATTACTATTATTCTAGATATTAACACAAACTTGCATGCCTTTTACCGTACTTATTCGAACAGGACTTATATGCTAATGGACTTATATCTGATCTGATAAAATACTTTTGTATACCCGGTATGGTTTATTTCCATACCATACATATACAAAGAACACAAAATTTTAAGACAATAAAAGCCCAAACGGATGGAACTTTGGATAAAGCAATTATAAATCTTCGATGTAACATCATTTTATTGTTACACCATTTGCTGATCATAAGAGTACCTATGTATGTAAATAATTCGAATTTTTATAATTAAATACTCAATTTCTGTTACATATTTCTTCTCTAGAAGAAACACGAAACAGTAATTCAGAATGTAGTCTTAGCAAGCACGAAGGGCATGAAAGG